TGTCAAGGCAGAGTCGAGAAGACCGGAGGCGGGGTCGGATGCAGGCGCCCCCCTCCCTGCTCGGCATTTGTTATGAAAGCGCTGTCCGCAAAATGCCTGCCGTATCCTGATCTAGCTGCTCCCTGTTGGTCTAGCACATCTATAACGCGAACCATTAAAGGGGTAAATTGGATAGACCAAAACTACACTGACAAGAGGGTTCTGTTTTCCGACGTTTTCCCATGTCCTTTTACCTAGTCTCGGTAGACATGGAATTTCGCCCCTGACAATGACGAATTCGGTGACCGGGCTAATTGGACGTGCTCGGCTTTCAGTTCACTCTACCAATGCTGATGAAATCGGCGTGAACATGATCAGAAAATAAAGCCGTTATTCAAGAATCCTTCCGATAAAAACTTCTGCGAGACGTGGCTCACGCTCTCAAAAGTCATTTATAGTCGGAAAGTATTCGATAGACAGTGCCTATGATCTGTTCTCGCATATTCGTCCTTTATCACTTATTCAATGAAATGCTTCACCATCTGTCATGAACACAATCTGTAGCGGCATCATCCTTTGTTGTTACTGGCTTTGACTCTCTTGTTGCATGTTTTATTTTTGATCTGCAATTTTCCCCGCGTGTCCTTTTACCTATACACGGAAGTGATTCTCAATGCTGTCGAGTTGAAAAACTGATGACATTAAATGGCCTAGTTATAGTCGATCCCGTCTGTACGACCACTTCTGCGTTTTATTCGAGTGCGAAGAGACTCCACATTACTCATGTGTGTCTACTATCATTACTTAAAAGTGATGCAGTTAACCTGTAACATTTGAACGGCCGAATCAACTATGGCAGGACTGTCTTCATAGGCCCTGTTTGCCTTTGCCTTATAATAATAAACTACTTTTACATTTCCAGTAGCCCGACATTCCCCTTATTTCGTTAAATTCCGCCAGTATGGGGTCGAATTTCCGTCAATAGGCATCAGTTTACTGAGCAACAGGAGATTACGTTGATGGGGTTGAATATATTTAGCTCCTTAGAACAATTATAAGTGGCTTTAGTTGAATACTCTTTGATCACTTTTAACGCAAATATTCATCTACACTTGTCGACCAAGTATTAACTGTTTAACCACCAATTCCGTAAAATAGTTGGGCAGGGGCAATATATATTTAGGTGGCCCTACAAGATAGTTTTGCCCCAAGCATTATAATCGCTTCTACTAGTGTGTAAGTAAATTCACCTCACCGGTCCTATGATCGGTCTCTTTCGGATCATAATTTGAAGCCCCGTCACCCCGTCTCTCTCCATTCTTCCACTGTGTAGGCAACTTGAGACTGTTGTGGAAGGAGACCTTTGATCAGACGCTGCAAATCGTCCTGACGGAACTCAAAGAGCCCTCGGCGACCCAGCGACTGGAGTTGGCTCAGTCAGCCGCCGGCGCTTTGGCGGCTCTTGTCTACCTGTATCCCGTGGAGTACAGGTCTACAGGGGAATCCTTGAAAAAGAACTGCCCGTCAGTGGGACGATCAAAGCAGCCCGATCTCCTGGACGGTAACATCGGTGCCTACGACGATG